CCGGCGCGGGCGGCCCCCGGCAGGAAGCCCAGCTGCTGTTCGCTGCACGCGGCGGAAACCCAGCAGCAATCGGAGGCTGCCGCGGCGAGCGAGGGAAGCGGCGGGGAGGCGCCTGCGTGGCCTCAGCTCTGCAAAAATAGCTTCACGGCGTCTTTTAATTTCCAAAGATGGGGACTTTGGTTTGCATCTCATCTGGAAGGCAGCAGTTAGCGCACGTCGTACCTCTCGCCCCGGGACGAGGGGGGACGTCTCTGGTGGTTTAGGGGGCAAATGGGTCTTGCTGCAGGGGAGATGCTACTCCGTAAAGCTCAGGCCCTTCTTCACCTTGATTAAAAGTGAAACCACCGGACTCTGTTTAGCGCTGCGCAAAGGTCGTCTGTCTTGGGTTCCTCGTCCTTCAAGCAGTGAGAAATGTATTGGATCCAACCTATAGAAAAACACATGTGGCTGGCCTGGTTTAGTCGGGGATGACCCTGCCTTGAGCCTGGACCAGACGGCCTCCGAGGGTCCCTTCCAGCCCTCCTTTCCTGTAGCTGGTCAGATGCCTCTCTCCCCTCCAGAGCACACCTGAGCAGCCTCCTTCCTTTGATGGCATTTGCATTTGTGCTTGTCTGAGAACAGCTGGAGCTGCTTAATTATTTACCAGGTGAGGTATCTGAATGGCGAGCTCTATCCTAACATGTGTCCTCTATCAAGGACTCGATGATCTATTGAGGTCCCTTCCGACCCTAACATCTATGAATATATGTGCTTCAAAGATGGGTCCCTTGGCACGAGTCGGTGTTTAGAGACCAACATGTTTGGGGCTGCCGGGTTTTTATCCAGCGACAGCAAACGGTGACTGTTTGTGTCGTCTGTGTGCAAACTCTGCAGGTGTGTTTGAGTGCACCCCCGAAACATGCAGGCAGCTCAGTGCAGGGACAGAACAGCTCATCCCACCACCTCCTCCATCTCGGCTCTCCTCAGCCAAAGCGAGCGCCCTTTGCATTGTGACCCTCCAGAAAACTTTTTCTTCCCTTTCTGCAGTGACTCAGCCCCTCCAGCTGCTGCCTGCCTTGGAGAGCCCACGGAGCCACTCCCTGCTCCTGTTGGTTTAGCAGGGCAGGGAGAGCAGTGGCTGAGTGGTTAGTTTTGCTGTTCTTTGGCAGTACCGAGGCAATCAGTGCTGCTACCCCTGCTCCACATGCATCCACTATGGAAAAGGGCCTGTGGGAATGCACTTGTTACACCCAGGATGACTCCAGAGAAGTACAAGAGAAGCTGAAGCAAGTTCCTCTGAACTCTGCACCGGTTTTTTGGGGGTATTATCAATCGGGCAATGTTACCAAGAGCAGCTACATGCAGCAGAGAATGCACAGACGTGCTCACTCCCTCCTCCTGGTGAGGACTTGAGCCCTGCAGAACCTGCCCACACTCCCACACGTGTTCCTTCGTGTGGAGGAGTTTATACGCTTCAGATTCAAATTTCTGTATTCCCACCCATTCCTCTGAGATAAGGGTCTCGTGGCCACTTGCGAGTAGGGAGCAGGGAAACCGAGCCATGACCTGTGACCGCCTTATTAGCATTGGGCGTGATCATCACTGCATCTCAACTCCCTTCAAGCTGCCCTTCCTAATCTGCTTCTCTCGTGTGCTAATCCCGATTCAGGCTGAACCACTTCTGGGATCGCAGTATCTGCGAGGAGGAATGGGGTGACACACCCAGCACAGGAAAAAGGGGTGAGGGGAGTCCAGGACTCCCCAGCATACTGAGGTTGCCCCGGGACTCTTGCTCACGCTGGAAACCAGGTCTGGAGCAGGATGCTACTTCATTTTGGAAGTTGAGTGGAGTTGGGTGGCCAGGCTTTATTGACTCGGCACCAGGGCTGAGCTCTCTGCTGTCACAGTGTAGATGGACACACAACGTGCTGGGGTTATTTGACCCCTGCAGTCTTTCCTGCCCAGTGATCTCACAAGGTCTCTTCCAGCCCTAAACTTCTGTGAATCTGTGACCCTTTGTCTCGGGCGGTCTCTGCAGGTCCCCATCCATTTTGAGCTAGCAGCGGTAGGTAGAAGGGCAGGCAGGGGACTACACTGGCCTTTGCTTGTGGGTGTATCAGGTGTTTTTCTATTGCACTGAACTGTATTCAGATGTTTTCTCAGAGCTTTCCTCTTGGCTTTTTTTCTTTCTTTCCCATGTCTGGCTTGGCACGGGGCTGATTGAATGAGAGGGGGAGCTGAGGGTCAAGGCCAAGGAGGGGATTGCCTGGATGGGGTTGGGATTGCCTATGTATATGAGGAAGGAAGGGTGTTGATCATCTGTTAAATGCTTGTCCTGAATGGCCACATATAACAATGAAGTATCTGGGTATCCAAACCAGACCTGCCAAAGATTTGCATTTTTTCTGTGCCCAAACGTCTTCATTTCCCTTCATCTCTGCCGTTTGTAAGGCAGACAAGCCCCGAGAAACTAGAACAGTGCAGCACTGGTGTGGCACTCACGGAATCAGTGAAATGCAGGGTAGTAGACATGTCTCAAAGCATGGCTATGGTGGACCCATACGGAGGCAGCGTGCTTTCAGCCAGGTGCAGTGGGAACCAGTGCTTGGTTCCTGTGGTCTACCTCTTGGTCAATGATGGGGACTGGCAAGTAAGGAATGAATCGTAGGAACCATGTCCCTGCAGTTCCCCTTTGGTCGTTCTGGATGATTTTCCCCTCTCTAAAAAGATCTGCTCTAGTGCAAGCAGGAGTAAATTCAGAGTGGACTTGCTGCCCACAGATGACTGATCAGGCTAAATCAGTGGTACCCATCTTTCCTCTCCTGCCCCCACCATGGGCCGGATGGGAGGTGCCTGGTCCATCCGCAGGCTGGATCCAGCCATGTATTTGGGGGGGGGGG